AACTTGTCTGACTTCCCTCTCTGTCCTTCTCTCTTTTGCATGACACTTGAACTGAAGGTTTTCTATCTTTCTTCCTCTCAGCCACCAACTGCTCACTACAAGGGCCTAAGTCTTTGCCTGTCTTTTGCAATTAATGGAAAAAGGGATTCATGAAACCAAACATGGTGGCTGATAGAACATGATGAGGCACCATATCAATACAACCAAAGAGCCAAGAGAGTATACATTAGTTATTTCTTCTCTATCCTATTTGTGATTGATCTTAGGGTGTTAGGCTCAATAAACAATCCATTTGCTCATCTCAAAATTCCTAAAAGATAATACTGTCCCTGGAGGTCTATAAAAAGTAAAAACAGAACACTACAGACATCTCGAAGAGGAAAGAGCAATTAACATTTTAGAAGCATTTATATACTCTAGACACTAAGAAATTTACTGTTATATTCCAAAACTAATACAGACAAAAGCAGTCCTTCTATTAATGTGCCTAGAAATTGATTTTTCAAATCTAGGATCAATGTACTTATCTGCTTACTAAGGTTCCACTGTTTAATAACAATCCTCGTTCTTCACACTGTTGAACCTCTACAGAAGCTCAGCCAGTGGTAAGGGCTGAAAATTTGTAAATATATCGCACCATTTTCTCTGTCTCGTTCTCTGAGTTAGGCAAATGCAGTGTTGAAGATTTTACCATGGTAGTACATTCTTCTTTTGTTTTCTTTTTTTTTTCTTTTGCTGTGTGACTCTCTTGGTTCAATTACCACACATCCCTGACTTCTCAAGCCACAGGGTCCTAAAAGGCTGGCTTCACCCCACAAACCAGACACTACAGAGAACTGCTTGTCAAAAAAAAGTTGATTTTATTCATGATACATCCTCACTCAAAATTCTGTTTGCTAAAATGCCATTAAAATTTTATTAGCTTACAAAGGAACAGACTTTCTTATGAGTGTTTCACACATTCTCAGTTTGGGCAGGTCCCTGCCTTGTTTCTCTGCCCCATCTCTCTGTCCTTGTCACCCTCATACACACCCATCCAAAGTACTCCCCTTTCACCCTAATATCGCATGGGTTTTGCTACCTTCCACAGCCAACCCTCTTAAAGCCCCTTTCCTCTCTCTCATGGGCCCCTTTTCAGTTTCCTGGGCGCTACCTACACTGACTCCCACATCAATACACATTCATCGAAAGTTAGAAGTAAAGATCTCTATGTGATATAGAACACGTGGTGCCTCACACTGAGCCTAGGTTTCCCAGGAGTCGGTGGTTCTTTATTTCTTCCAAGTTGCACTTTCACCTCCTTATCATGGGTGAAGCACCCTGCCTTGCTGATGTATTACACACTTCTAGCCTTGCTTTCCACACTTAGAGCCTTTTCTCTGACTGTCTGCGGGGCTGCAGATGGTTTCATTTTATCTTCCTCTGTCTACTAACCCAAGAGTACAAGTTTTGGACATCCCAATGAAGGTCACCACACCTTTGTGCGGGTGTGTCTTCAAAGATATTCTCTGTCTAGAGCTGCAGTTAGTTAACGATATTCATGTTTATATATCATGTTCACAGATGATTCTTCAGCAAAAGACCTTGTTGAAAGACCACGAAGAGGCTGAGGAATAGACTACAAGATACAAAAAAGAACACGTCAAGAAGCAGACAGACTCGAGAGTAAAGAGGAGTTAAGATCAAGCTGAAATGGAGAAAGGAAGAGAATGCATCAAAAGAAAAGACAGGCAAGCTGTAGAATTGCAAGATGTTCATGCGTTAAGTTCATACTCTCAAACACCTACACATGAGGTCCGGGAGTAAGATGGAGGCAATCCGGAGGTTCACAAAGCTTGTGAATGCTACCATGATGTGGACATTCCCAGCTCGCCTCTCTAGTTTGCACACTCAAGCCAAGGATTGCTAGGCACTCTCCGTAAAGGCGTTGTGAGATCATATTGGAAGTAAATGCGTTGTGTTCTATTACTGTTATTTTCAAGAAAGGTGAGTTAAAATACCTGCTATCCACACCGAAGACCAGCCATCAGCTGTCGCGGCTTCCGGAAGGGTTGTCTGTCCTTGCAGATAGCTCTCTGGATGCTCGGTGCATGGTCTGATAGAGAGGTCTCCTTTCCTGACCTTTAAATCCAGGGCCAGGAGATGCAGCCACGGAGGAATTCAGAATCTAGGCATCACCTGACATGGACTTAAACAAGAGTTTCTAATGTCGGAGGGCATAGCTTCTGGGGGATGAATAGGAGGAAATACAAATCACGGACAAAGAAAGGCAAGAATTATTTCGTACATGGAAACAAATTGCTATCTAGAGCATTAGAGCTGAGTTTGTACCATATCTACTTTTGTTTTCTGATATTCTTCTACCTTCTTATTAACATAAGTGGGATACTAATAAGGACAATTAAATTGGTCTCAGCCACAAGATCAGCACGCTGTCTCCACAGCCTGCACATCCCAAACTTTCCTCTCAGCTTTGCACTCTCAGGCCAAGGTTCTCTAAGCTCTCCAGACATTTTCTGTAAATCCAGTAATGCTGGTCAGGGGACAAGCACTAAACACATTACACAGAGTGTAATTTTCAAAATAAAATTGGTGCTCCCTGTAAGAGCCCTGAATTAGCAAAAAGCTCACTCTGGGCCTAGGAAACAACCCTCGGGTTGTTGGTCAGAGAAATACAAGAATCTGTCAGAAGAGTATACACTGCTGCCACTGCCCTGAATTGCCTTCCAGAACTTTAAAGTAAGACCCTAGTGCACCCAACATTAACTATTTCAGATGCAAGACTCAGAGGGATTGAGCCTGAAACGGCCTGGGAGCCTCTTCCCTGAGGGCTGATTCTCATAGCATTGGAATCTGCTGTGTAAGCTGTCAGGGGAGATGAAGGAATTAATAATCACGAGCTATTCTTACCCGTAAAGCCTAAGAATAACGGCAATGACTGGCCTTGTGAATGGTGCAACAGTGGCACTTTTATCTCGGAGAAAACCAACATCTGGTTAATTGAACTTTAGGCTTGTTTGATATAAAGGAATTCAAGCTTGGTACCCAAAACTTAACCAATTATCCATGGTGGAAGGTTCTAGACATCAAAGGAGAGCCCACTACGGCCGTTTTCCTAAACTAGCATAACTTCTAACTGTACTCTAGATTCTTCTCCCTATATTCACAGAAACATAGAGCTCTCGCTCCTTCTCCGAGAAGCTTCCTTTGGCAACGAATGAAAACTATTACAGGGATCTACCACCGCTTGGGATGTGGATCATAAATGCCTGTGCTCTTATAGATGTTATTTGCAACGCGACCCTACCCCTAAGGCTAAGGGAACTTTGATTTAAGAGAGGGAAGGAAGTTTGTAAGAGCCAGAGAACCAGGGATTCTATTGCTAAATAGAGTTCTAGAGACAGGATTATGACATCTCAGTAATATGGTTGTCTGAATGCAATCAGCATATGACAACAACAGCTGACCAATCAATATGAATGGGAGAGATTCAACAAGTTCCTATTTAAATGGACTCAGTAGGCTCTCTCTCTCTCTCTCTCTCTCTCTCTCTCTCTCTCTTTCTCTCTCTCTCTCTCTGTGTGTGTGTGTGTGTGTGTGTGTGTACAGGCAGGCATACATATGTAATAATAATTAAATAAGAAGAGGCTATGAATGGATTTGAGTATTGAGTATGAGTTTGGAGGAAGAAGAGGGAATGATATCAATGCAAATAAAGATTTTTTTTAATTAAATGGCAAATTTATACAAAACCCCCAAACAAACAAAACAAGCAACTTTAAGACAGCTACCTTACGCCTGTTTCATAGAAGCAGCTGCATATGTAGAGAAGTGACATATCATACAAGTTCACACACTCGCAGAGCTGGGTTCAGCTCCCCGATGGCTTCCCACCACCCTAGAGTAAGTCTCTCTCTCTCTCATTGTTCAGAATGTTGCTGCAGACTTTTCTGTCTCATCTCCAGCTGCTCCTCGCCCTGCACACTGTGCTCTGATAACACCAATCAGTGCCATTGGAGCTTTCCATTCATGACTTTCTCCTAAGTGCATTCCTTAGGGAATTTGTACTGCTGGCCCCTTTGTAAATCAATCCTCTGGCCTTGGTACTTCACACTGCGGCCTCCTCCTAATCAGGATACCACTCAAATATCACCTTCTCCAAGAGGGCTTTCTCAACACTCAGTTTAATGTAGTTCAGGGAGATGTGACACACCCCTACCAATGCAAATGGCAGCTGATGCTATCAGCACCTGAATTTTGAGAGAAGGTGTCAAACCGTCTATTATACCAACAGTCTTATTTAATTATCTGATAAGGGGAACATACAATGGTGGGAGAAGTAAGCCCAAGAGGCAAGTCACAGCAATAAATGTTAATGTCAAAAATTAATAGGCTTGGGTAGAACCATTGCTATAGCCAGCCACACGCTGGACATGTTCCGAGTCCGTGTACAACCTGCTATCTCTAGCACAAAGGCTTGGACCTCGGTTTCAAGTCCAGTCATTTGTTTACTTTTACCTTCTCTAATAATCATGGCGCATTACAATTATAGAAAATGTTAAGCTTTTCAAAATGTCAAGCACAGAGCTGGCCTGTCTAAAGCCAGGAAATGAAAAACCAGAAGTTGGTGGCTGGATATATACATCCTGTAGAAGACTCAAAAATTGGGCCGAGAGCATCAAAACCGCAAAAAGGGAGAGAATGAGAAAAGGGCTAATTTATTTGTATTGTCTTATTAGTTTCTCAGCAAGAGTTCCATTGACTTGATTTTAATTAAGCTTTCCTTCAGCCTTTCCTTCCCAGCCTTCTGGGAAGCCGAGTGAGTGTGGGTGCCAGGTGGGGATGCGCCAAGAACTCTCTGATCTAATTTTCAAAATCCCCCTTCATCGGAAACAGCCACTCCACACAGTCTGTTGACAGATGACCTGTATCCGGCTGAGGAGTTCTGCTTTTGAGTTTGTGCTTAGTGGCACTAGAAGAGAAAGTGCCACAAGGAATGGGAAATCATCACTTGGCTTCTAGGTCAAGGGATCAGAATGCTGTATTGTTGGCCAGATTGTGCACTAGCAGAATCTAGCGCAGCTAGCTGGGATACTGTGTGACTTTCTGGACAGGGATTCATTTCTCTGAACTTCACTTCTGCCTATTGTCCAGTGTAACTAGTAGGTTGTGTTCTGCAGAAAGAATCCAGGGGGTTAAAAGCCCACTGGCATCATCTTGTCCTATGCGTTTGGTGAATGTCTACTCATCTCTGGTAAGTTCAGTAGCTTCCTTTTCAGAGAGCCCTGGCTTATTGCCTAATTCTTTTAGTTAGCTTCCTTTGTGCTGTGTGTGGAAGGCAGGGGCTGTAATTTTTGTGATTTCTTACATGACTTTTCCTATATAATAGACAAGCATGTGTCAGTAGAGGAACGGCGGTTAAGAACAGTAGGCGACGAGCATGCTAGGTCTAGCCATATGATGCTGTCATACACAGCATTAAATAGATTTGCTTGTTTGATTAACTCACTTTTGTTGCAGATAAAGTGATAGCATGTTAGACACATCCTTAGTCCCCACTTGTTAGATGCCCGAATAGGAGCTAGGGCGGGGTCAGAGTGGCCACTCTGCACAGTTGTGGAACTATTTGTTCTCTATCTCACCATTGAGCCTGGTGTGGGAGAATTGTCTGTATTCTGTCAATCATATTTTAATAAAACGCTGATTGGTCAGGCAGGTAGTATAGGCGGGAAAGCCAGACAGGAAGTAGGGGTGGAACAAAGAGACTGGAAATATTCTGGGACACAGGAAGCTCTCTCAAGCACTCCTGTGCAGACCACCGAAGAGGCAGCATGTAACTTGCCCAGCTGAGAAAGGTACGGAGCCAATGTGGCTAATGTAGATAAAGATAATGGGGTAACATAAGTTATAAGAGTTAACAAGAAGCCTGACCTAATGGGCCAATCAGTTTATAACCTTATGGAGTCCTATGTATGATTTTTCTCTTTGGGACTTGCCGGCTTGTTGGGGTACCCGGCGGGACAGATACCCCAACAAGCCGGCCCCCGTCATGTTACATGAGCCTTAAGCCCTTCTTCACAGAAGTTATTTCCTTTCGGCTCTTCACATGGACACACGTGAGGTGCAGAAACCCCATGTGCGACTTCATGTGTCTCCCAGGAAAGGAACAAAGCAAGCACCAAGAGAGCATCAGGCCTTGAGGTGGAAATATAGAAAGACCAGGTCAGATTGCAGCGATTCCCTAAGATTCTGAAACTTGGCGTGACTGTTGGGGACAGGGCTGTGAGGGGGAGGCACAGGTGTCACACGCCGAGCATCTCAAGTTGTTGACACAGGAATGTTCCTTTTCTGTATACAAATGCCTCCAGAGACAGTTGAGGCAAGGGCATGTGTCTTAGTTAGGGTTCCTAATGCTGTGAAGAGATGCACTGAGATGGCAGCTCTTAGAAAGGAAAACATTCATTGAGGTGGTGGCTTAGGGTTTCAGAGCCTTAGTCCACCATCGTCATGGTGGGGAGCTCGGCGCCATGCAGGGAGACGTGGAGCTGGCTATGTTGTGATCAGAAGGTAACAGAAGTGAACTGTCACAATGAGAAAACTTAAGCAAAATAGACCTCAAGCCTGTCCCCACGTGACACGCTTACTTTAACAAGGCCACACCTATTTCCACAAGGCCACACCTCCCAATAGTGCCGCTCCCTATGAGTTTATGTGGACCAGTTACATTGAAACTGCCGCAGCATGCATCGAGGGTCTACGGCATCGGTGATGCTTCGCAAACCAAATCCCAAAAAGACCTTAATAAGCAAGACTTAACTTTCCTAGTTTCTCTCCTAAGAAAAAAGGTTTAGGCAAAAGGATCAACGTAAGAACTTACTTCATCCAAAACAGGCAAATTAGATACTGGTTTGACAGTGCATTGGGAAGAGTTGTATTTATTCTTTCAAACAGTGTATTATCCCAAATGACCTATCCATGCGTTGTCAGCTTCTCAGGTTTTTAGTAATTCATTCAATCAGTAGTGTTTTCTGTCTGTTGCTTGAAACGTCATTATTGAATATGTATAAAGGTTTGCTGTGGAAGGGATCCCTCACTGCCCTAGATGGGAGGTTAGACAAACCATGGCTTTATGAGCATAATAAGATGTTGTGTTCTATGCTAAGCACTTCATTCGACTTCACTGAAAATAACTGCAAGAACCTCAGGAGGTAGGGTTTATTATAACTTCCATAAATATAGGGAAACAGATTCAGAGAGTGGAGAAGTGCACTGGCTAATTCACTACCAGGCGGCTCATAGCAGAACCAGGTAGGGCATCTCAGAACGTACCAAGCCTAAATCTTTACAAACCATCGGTTAAGAAGTGGGGTAAGATCTTGTTCTGCTGCAGACTCTAGTTGACCATGATGACCACATTAAGAGTCCTAGCAAAGCAGTCAAAGAAAGCTAGGTATTAGCCTTGGCTATCTCAAAAGCCCAAATACAAGAAAAAATGCACAGAAGATTATGATTTCTGACATAAGGGTTACGGTTCCCATTCTCTTTCCTTTATTTCTCTCATTCTTTACTTCTTATTTTTCTTCCTCCTTCTTGATGAGACAGGGTCTCACTATGTTAACCAGGGTAGACTCAAACTTTTGATTCTCCTGCCTCAGCCTCCCAAAGGCTGGGGTTATTGAGTATACTATTATGTGGAGCTCAGACTCTGCTTTCTAACATGCTGGCTGGTGATGCCTATTTGTGGTCTGTGCACACACTACAAGCAGCGATGCTAAAGAAGCCCCACCTGCGTACCCCTTCCTTCCAAGAAAGATCCGAATTTTGTCTTCTTCCCTCTGTTCTATATTGTCCATACATCTTTGTGGGACCTGCTTCTTTCTCTGCCTTCAACGTGATCTTCAGTCGTTCCACTGTTCGGTCCAATAAATTAATTACCAAACACATGTGGTGGTTACGTCTAAACGAATCAATATTAAGTAAAATAAAAATTTTATTTTTCCGGTTTTATCTGCAGGTCTTAAATGCATTAGCAGCCATGCCCAGCTAATGACTCCAGAACCGCCAGTACAGATTAGAACACATTCTGACCATAGAAAGTTCTGTGCAACAATTCCCAGAGTTTCCATTGACCAGAACAACTTCACTTCTACTTTTTCAAAACCCTGTTTGTAAGAGCTATGGCCATGGCTTATATTTTAGCTAACCAGGCCACATTTGACTGGAATATTAGACTATAGTCCTTGGCTCCAGCAAAGTTTGCTTGTTCTTTCTCTTTGTTGAACTAATGGGAAAACAAACAACAAAGCAAGCAAACTAAAAGTGTGATTGACTGCTTGTTTCTCTGCTCATTCACGAGCCTCTCCCTAACAGAATAGCAGAAACCCTGACAATCCCACACTAGCTTTTCTCCATTACCTTCTGATTCTTTTAGTGTGAACTTATACAACTCTCCTTATTTAGACCATTTGGGATATAACTGTTCTGCAAGCTCAAAAACAACCAAGAAACACCCGGAGTCTCACTAAAATGCAAAGCTAAAGAGTATTGTTGACTTCCAAGTGTGTCAGATGACTTGAGTAGAAAAACAGCTATAGGTAAGAAGTGCGTGAACACAGGGTGGGTGTGTCTCACAGGTGTAAGGAGACAGGGACGTCTTCTCTGTATAAAAGAAAAATCTAAGAAAGCTACTAAGAGGAGTCGATGACAATTAAATGTGATAGAAAAATAGCTGGACAGGGAGAAAAGGACGAGGGAAGATGTGCCACGCGGGGAATGAGATCAGAGAAGGTGAATGGACCACCAAAGCATTTCCAAGGCAGAGGCAAAAACGTGGCTACTGTGTCTGTCCCTGGTGAATCTATTAGCCTGGAAAAAGATAGAGCCAGGTTATATAGGTCATTACTGCATGAGTCTCCATGGAAAAGCTTTCTTCATATTTGTTTATCATTTTACAGTGTTGGAAACATCTCGCCAAGAACATTTTGTTTGTTTTTATGGTTTGCAGTAATACATCACTGCAGACAAATTAGGCCTTGGTGGACAATGAGGCCAAGGTCACAAATTAAGCAATGTTAAACAAAACCTTGAACTCACACACCCAGCACCTGATGTTGCAGATGTATGACTACACAAACTATCCTGGGAGTACCTATGCTTCCCATTAATCAAGGACAACGCCTGTAGGTTTAACAGTCATTCAACAACAGTACCCTGGGATAGATGACAAATTATGTGTTGGCCCTATTATCCCTGCAGACGTGAACTATGTGACATCATATTTGCTGTTAGGAGAGATGATGAGGAGACCAGATGAGGCCAGAGCACCAGAAAGTAATATAGAGCTACTTTTAGGAAATTTATAGATGAGAAGAACATTTTTCCATAAAGTTTTAAGAATGATTTTAGGTTCACGGCTAGTGTTTTATTGCAGGAGATAGTAAGGGATTTTGAAAAGGGTATTCATCTCATCAATTCTGCAACTTATTTCAATTAGTTCAGCAATCTCTCTCTCCCCCAACCCGTGGGCGCGTGTGTGTGTGTGTGTGTGTGTGTGTGTGTGTGTGGTAAAACAGGGAAAGAGGTAGAGAGGAAAGAGACATCTTTAAAGCAAGCACCCCTGAATGTTAACATTAGTGAAGCAGTTTGAATTTGTGCTGCAGTTGTGCCGTGAACTCTCCCCAGAAGCTCGTGTATTACAATATTTGCCTCCAAGTGTCAGTGATGTTGTCTTAGAAGGTTTTGAAACCCTTAGGAGGCAGTGCCTTTAGGTGAAGCTCTTGTGTACAAAGTAGGTCATTAGTAATGGGTCCTGAGGTTTCACAGCCTTCTCCCTCACTTCCTGTTCACTTCCTACTTCCTGACCATGGGTCCAGCAGAACTACGTCCCCTGCTTTTACTGCCATGATTTAGAGCATGCCTTTTAAAACTGTAGGCCCAGATAAACCTCTTTCCTTCCTTCAGTTGCTTCTTGCTAGGTGCTTGGTAACAACAATAGAAAAACTGATAAATACATTTTATAAATTTGAATTCTACAAAAATACAAACTAGTAAATAAACTAAAATGTAATTAGAGTAAAATTACTTACAGGGAAGTTAAACTGCTGGTGGGAGTCAGCCCTTGCAATGCAAGCAACAAGGAATTAAGAAGACCACTACTTTAACGTCAGAAACACCTGAAATTGGTGCCTATAAGATCTGAAAATTATCGTTATAGGGGCTGCACATGGAATTCTGGATGCTTTTTAACTCTGCTCCCTCTCCAACTATAGCCTCATGATATGGCTTTCTCTCTTCCAATGACTTGTGTCCATTCTGTTTTCTTAATGTGCTTTATATAATATGTATATCACTGGGGCTCATTTTATCTGATCCCAAGGCCTCCTGAACGTCATGAGATCAGATTTTCTGATAGAGATCACTGGTTTTCACTGTTTATATACCTTTGTTGAAAAATAAATGGTTATTATTATGTATATTATTTTGTATATTATTATACAAGCCTGATAATTTCCACCAGTGTTGGAGAATTCGGAGTGGAAATATGTTCTCAAAAGCAAAGTCAATATGTGCTTGACTCTGTGTTCCCAAATTTCTGGTAAAAATCTAGGGGTAAAAGTCAGGGTAGCATGTAAGAACCATGTAAATTGGAGGCTCACGCGATTGAGCCGTTTCTCATAGGCAGGAGCAGGACTGAGCCCTTCCCTGTCACAAGGTAAACGAGGAGCACAGGCATTCCATGGAGGGAAGAGTGCGCTGGAGATGTAGCTCATGCTGGTTAGCTAGAATATAGAATGAATATCTAAATGAAGCAGTCAGATTCATTAACAAGATCATTTGGCCTGAAACGTCTCATCCCTTCCTATTCTGTTTCATTATAAGACAATGGAACACAGAATAATACAGCGTAGGGAATAGCCAACTTATCTAAATGTTAATGACAATAATTACTGGCCTGGAGAAAATCTTTCAGTTACACTGAAATATTTCATAAATATCACTGAGAGATTTTTTTCCGTGGGATTAACAGTTCTCCCAACAACGAGTACCCTTTATTAGAACATTTCCAAAGAGGATGAGTTCTAGGTCAGGTCCACAAAAGAGTCAGTGACATAGGTTGTCATAAAAAGAGAAGTCAGGCAGAGAAGAGTGGGTACACTATAAAAGCCACAGAGGCAAAGACTGTCCTTGAGGCTTGGTAAACTATGGTTCTAGTGACAAGCAGACAATGGTCTTGGCTTTCATGGCTGCTTTCTTTTTCCTTCCTTCCTTCCTTCTTTCTTTCTTTCTTTCTTTCTTTTTTTTTTGTTTTGTTGTTTTGTTTTTTGGGTTTTTTTTTTGTTTTTTTACAGGATTTCTCCATGTAATAGCTTTGTCTTTCCTGAAACTCACTCTGTAGACCAGGCTGGCCTCAAACTCACAGAGATCTGCCTGTCTCTGCCTCCTGAGTGCTGGCTCATTTCTTACGTCTCACATAAGGCTCGTTCATCTAAGGAATAGTGAACTTACTTGGGATGCTTGTATTGAAAGACAAAAGATGAGCATGCGGAGAAGAGGAGACTATGGTGTCTCGGAGAGGAAGACGAATGTCATCAAACCAGCCCAAAACCTACAAATTACCCTAGGTAGGTAGAGATATGGTAGGGAGAGAGATGATTCCTTAGGAAGTTCCTAACAAGATAGACTTGAATTGTGTTGAGCAGGTCTGCACATCAGTTAGTTGTGGGAACTTGATTGAAATGCCAGTTCTTATGTCCTTTACCAGCCCCCGTTGAGTAAGAAATGGGGGACATGGGACCCAGTTCTTTGTGCTTAACAAATCTGGGGGTTTTCAGAACTATGGATTAAACTCAATTTTTTTTCAAAGCTCCCAGAAGGCTCAATGTGTGCTGTCAGAACCTAAGGTTCAGAAAGAAGAAAAAAAAAATCTATCTTTAAAAATCGAGCTTGCTCCCAAGGATGTCCTAGCAAAGAGACGACTAAGAAGGGGCAGAGAAATGCGGAAATCACAGGTGATGAATAGATGGAGATGCACATGCTGTAGAAAAGCTACTCTGGAAAGTGTCTGCCTCGGTTCCCCTCAAGGAGCTGAGCCTGATTTGACACAGGAGCATCCCTGCGTAGAACTCCAAAGGATAGAAATCCCTGGTATCGACCACTCATCTAGAAAAAAAAACAAACAAACAAACAAAAAGCAAAGAACCTCTCATTCATTTTCTTACTACATAGCAATATGTCATAGGAAAAGATTATATCACATTGCTCAGTCTTACTTTTTATTCTCTAAGACAGAAAGTAAGGCATTGGTTCATTTCACAAAGTAAGATCCTTAGGGAGTGTCTTTTCTCAGACTCTGTACTTTTGGTAGTGGGGTTTGGAGGTGGGTCCAAACATCTAGACCAGCACTCATTCATCTCGTCTCCAGGTTATCATCTCCTAAGGAGAAATTGTGTACTTTCTCAACCTCTATACTCAGAGCTCCAAGAATGGAGTACTGAAACATACAGCAACCCTAAAACATTGGGGAAGTGTATTTGTGAGACCTGTGAAGCCGGGAAGCAACCTTCATTCAGTCATTTTTTAAAAACAATTATTTGTTTACCTGCCTTCTCTATGCCAGAAACTGATTAACTGACTGCATCCTGACATAGTGAGCAAAGGTTCTGTCCGTGTGGATATTTTATCCTCATAATGGAGGAAAACATAGCAATGTTCATAAATCTCACGAAATGATGAGAAAAAAACTATTGGGAAAAGGATTAGGGAATTTGGGTAGGCAAGGTACCATTCCCTAGCATGAATGAAAAGATCAGACTAAGAGATTTTATTAGTGAACTTATATCAAAGTAAGAGCTATTAATGCAAAGCTCATGAAGAAGTTCAGGCTGAAGGAACTTAGAAGGGACCCTGTGGTAGAGACAGCTCAGTAAGGCCAATGTGATGAAAGATGAGGAAGAAGCGGAATCACGTGATTTGTCTCACAAAGTAATTTACACAGATGACGTTGGAGAAATGTACACTGAGGGAGCCATGATCAACATTACATTCTTTGAGACTATCCCATTGTGTTGAGAACACACAAAAGAAAATAATGTGGAAAGCAAAAGGACAGAGTAATAGATTCTTCTATAAATCAAAGCAAAGGACTGTAGTGTCTTGGTTTAGAGTAGAAAAGGTAACATTGGTGAGAAGTGGATGTATGTTGTAAAAGAAATGTCAGAATTGAATGATAGGTTGAAGACAGAAAATGAAAGAAGATCATTCAAGGAAGATTCAGAAAATTAAGTTTGAGCTTCAAGGAAGAGAAATGAATTTTTCAAAGAGAGGCTAAAAGATGGACCAAGCAGGTTAAGGGGCACTGCGGAAAAGAAGTTCGGTTACGGGATCCTTAACTGTGCAATATGGACTCTATAGTAACTGTGAGACAGACATCACTAATGGTGGTGCTGTCAGACATATATATGCATTGACAAGTCGTGTTTGTAGATGAGAGACCATACGTGAAGGAACAAACTTGAGAAGTCTGGTTGATACGTTTTAAACCATGGCACAGGGTGACACCCTCTAGTAATGGATGGAAAGCTGTATTAAAGAAATGACATCTAAGCCATCCCCACTATGTCAGCATGGTGTCTTCTGACACAGCACAGAGCAAAGATGGAAACAGAGTGCACACTTGTCTGAGTCTCTCACTCCTGAGGGATCCTGTGAGGTGAGCATGATGGATTGCCATCGGATTTGTCTCCTTAGTTACTGATGCCATTGATAGGCTCTATTTTGATCAAGAGGTGAGCGTGGGTACCTAGTTGAAAAAGAATGGAAGAGGGAAACTCGCAGTCACATTTTAGCCAACTTGTCTTCCTTGGAGAATCTGTGTATCTTGACCATGAGCTTTTTTGTTGGTGAGTTATATGTGACAAATAAATTCATGGTAGAGATAGGCACTCATTTCTAAGATACCGTCTTTCTTTATTCTTTTCCAGGTCACATAATTGGGGTTCCCATTGTTGTGGTGAAGCACTAAAGCAACTTGGAGAGAAAAGGGTTTACTTGGCTTCCATATCCTGAAGCTTACTCCACTGAGGGAAGCCAGGGAACTCAACTAGACAGGAATCTGGATGTAGGAACAGACACAAGGGACATGGAGGAGTGCCCCTTACTGATGCTTCTTATGACACGCTCAGCTGGCTTTCTAGTTTTTATTTTTATTTTATTGAGAACTGACTCATCTCTCATATCACATATCCCAACCACAGTTTCCCCTACCCCTGCTCCCCTCAGTTCCCTTTCACCTCCCCTCTCCTCCACATCCATTCCCCCTATATTTCTTCTTCAGAGACGAGGAGGCCTCCAAGAGAGGTCAGTCAAGCAGAACAAAGAAAGATACAGGATGAGAAGGCAAGAGCTTTTCCTCTTTTGTAGCCTACCAGCCCAGGGGTGGTTCTACTCTCAGGGGCCTAGGCCCTCCCACATCAATTACCAATCACGAAATGCTCTCCAGGGTTACCTGCAGCAGGATCTTGTGGAGGCAATGTTTCAAGCTTGTGTTAAGCTGACGTAAACTAGCCAGCACACAATTCAAGTATATCATCAATATATTTTCACCATCTATTTAATCCTTGATTTCACCTCATTATGTCTTTAACAGAACCCCACGAGGAGCCTTCATTTAAATTTCCATTTTATAGATGAGGAAACTTAGATACCGAGGACTGAAGCCACTTGTCCCAGGCCATCCCATTGACATTTAACATCGCCATTTAAGGAAAGGTGAGCATTTGGGCGAATTTGGGATTTCCAGCTCATAGACCCCAGAGGCTGAAGTTTTACACTCGCCAGCTTTCCTCTGATAGCAGGTTCAGGAGTGGAATGGCTTTCATTAGAGATCAGAGGATTTTCTGAGCAGACTCCTGCCGAGATAAAATCCTTGGCTATTGCTGCAAAATAAAAGATACAGCGTGTGCTCCTGCATCCGCCTGCTCCTGGGTTTTCTTTGGGTTGGAAAATAATTTTTTTTCTTAGTTTTTCATCTTCACCCTTCCCTTTAAAAGCTTAAAAGAAAGTGCTCTTGAGTAGGAAATGAAAAGGAGGGGCATCATTTGTAAAGAGGCTGCGTCTATACATAATATTCTATAATAAAGTAAATAAAAATAAAGCAAATGAAACAGCTAAGAGACAATGTTGAGGCATTTTCTTTTTAATTTAAATTTGACATTTTCTGTCCTGGGGGATAATTTTTCTTTCCATCTTGGCTCATTATTACTGACTGTCATGCTGGCATAGCACTTGCCTTTCTGCTAACTCTATATCATGGTAACTTATAAAATCCAGTGCTGTCTTAGTCTTTTCCCTGGGCAAAGACCTTTCACAACCTGGATTAGTTCCAACTCAACTATTGCTCTTGTGTTTGAGGGGCTTTCCTTGGCCTGTTTTAGTGAACCAGGACCATAGTGTCGGGTAAGGAGAGCAGGTGGAAGGACTTGCTGTAATGACCCCTTATTGGCGGTTTCTATCATTATCCTAACAACGCATTCATTTACTTCTGGGTCAGTAAAATATCCCCTGATTTATTCTCCTACTTTCTCTTGTTCCTCTTTCATACATTGTGATGCTGTAGCTTCAAGCACTTTACAATAAAGCAACAATTGACCTCATGAATCATCTCATATGAACCCTTGTAAGCAGCACATTTACTTTCTACTTCAGATAGACAACCTTGTTCTTTAGCTTGTCACGTGTCTGGAGGATCAAGTTCCTGCCTAGTTCAACTGCTATGGACATATTCCTATCCATATACTATTTAGGACTGTCTTGTTGTTTTTCTGGCTTCCATGGTGTTTCTTTCACCTAAGTAGATTTCTGACCTGTCCCTTCCCCGTTTGTTAGTTGTTGCCCATCTTTCAGACTTCAACCCAAATTTATTTCCACATTATTTTTCTCATGCATCCATAACCACTTTCAAATAGCTGTGGGATGTTCTTCAAGGCCAAGCATGTGTCTGCCCTACCTCCCAAACCCTGAAATGTCTGTGCAGTAGAACATTTTTGTTACATTTGTCTGATGACTATAGAATCTAAATCTAAATCTAAATGCCAATTTATATCATATACATGATATATAGTATATATATCATTTTATCACATATATGTATGATAATGATTGTCATTTCCTGTCATGTAGTCTCACACTTATTAATTGACAGCACATTTAGTATGTGCTAAATGAATGAATTCAATATACCTGCTGTTTGTATGTGCAGGTAGAGAAAAAAAATCATTGAAATTTCTGCTTTGCAGAGACGAGGTCTTGAGATGCTGTAAACCTTTTCTAGGTATCCATTATGTTCCTCTGCCTCTGTCTGTTGTCTTCTTAATCTCAGTAGGCGATGGCATTTTTGGAGTGGTACGATTTGGGCAGTCAAATTTATACTGGGACTATGATGGCCAAACCCAAACTGAGCCAATCACAAGTCATTCACCAGGAGTTTGGAACCTAGCCTATGCTTCATCAGTCCATGTAGGACACCCGTTTGGGGAATTGGAGAATATTAAAGACAAACAAACTAAACAACTTTGAACAATACAAATGCACGCACAACCACAGCAACAACAAAATTCAAAGCTAAAAATAAACATCAGATGTTTTACAGAACTTGGCTCCAGCAGCAGAGAGAGTTGCTAGGCAGAGAATTGACAAGAATGGCACAGATGTTCAATGTGATGCTCAGGCAGGTCTGGAGAGCAAATCTTGGTGTTCCTTATGACTTCACCCTCTCTTGGTGTTGTTTCTATTGTAGGGTCTGGCTGCCTGCCTGCCCTTGAGCTGTCTCCCCAACATAGCTGTGGATCCTCCAGAATGAGCCATCTCTGAGGTATTCCCACTTTCAGTTAAAGCATTCCAGTTAAAGTTTATATAAAATCTCTGATAAAAACATAGCAGGCACTGTATGCTATACTTGACTTGATGAATCTCATTTCTTGATAGAAAGCAATCTCTATAAGGTAAACACATTAAATAAATAATTGGTATAAGTATACTTACTTCAATTGCAACTACTCAAAGACCTCTTGATCTGGCTGATGTTTATTGGGCATTTTCTACTTAAGTAGAGTAAGAGCTTTGCATATAGGTCTAAGCGTTACATAATTTCTGTTAAGTGAATTGCTGATTCTCCTGTTATTTCAACTGTTTTCTGTGTCTCTGCATCCTTTAGTATAAGCCTGACAATTAGAAAGCTCTGCAACAATTTCTTCTTTCTGATTGTTGGAGGCTTGAATAACTCTTAGTGTCTTAATAAGCCCAAAGACATGTCCAATCGTGAATGGCCTCATTGTAATAGTTAATGCTGTCTAGTTCATGGTACCTAAATCCACGTGAGAGGCTAGTCTGAGCATGCTGGCCCAAAACCAACATTTCCCATCCATCCATCCATCCATCCATCCATCCATCCATCCATCCATCCAACCATCCATCCTTTCTTCTCTCTCTATGCTTCCATATCCTTCTCTCTCTATGCATCCATATTTGTGGATGCAATATAACCAGTTGCCTCATGTTTCTGCCTCCATAACTTCCTTTCCTGCTAAACAGGCGCTGGGAACATGGGGCCAGCGCAAGAACTCCCGTCTTTATGCCCAAGTATTTTGTCACAGCAACAAGACAGATAACGAATGCATTTGCACACATTCCTAAGTCTTTCTGAGTCATTTTACACAGATTTATAACCATCATTTGGAATTGGAGAGAGATTATACGTGTGACTATCTTCTGAAAATATAAAATAAAAAATAGTTGTACAACATTCTCAGTAGTTTCAGCAGGTGCTATCAAGCCCATGCTACAAATGAGATTGCAAGGCCAGGAAGTTCAAATGGTATGACCGAATTTACCAAGTATAGGAATTAAATAGGTAATTTAAAAACACATTATTGTCATCATGTATTAAATATTATTTATCCATAAAAGATTTGAAGCAAGTCCTACCTCAGAGAACTTATGACTATGTTTGTAAAATGTGTTAGAATATGCAAAATTGGGGACATTGAGATTAACAAAGTCAAATGGAAAAGATTAGAAAACAATGCCATGATGAAAAATAGAGAAGTAATTCGGTGAAACTGAGCTGATCTCAAAGTGAAGGTGAGTATGTAAATGGTGATGGTACAGAGGACTCTGCGTGTGTAAATGGTGCAATGGTGCAGAGGACACTGAGTGTGTAAATGGTGCAATGGTGCAGAGGACTCTGCGTGTGTAAATGGTGCAATGGTGCAGAGGACACTGAGTTGTGGAGCCTGTGAGTCTGCTCTGTGGTCAGAGATATTAACACAGCATAGACAATGCAAACAAAACTAATAGGGGGCTTGGAAAAAAGCTCAGTCAGTAAATGCTTTTTAATCAATCACAGGGGTTATACGTTCAACCCTTAACACTCATGTATAAAAAGATAGAAGTGATGGCATGCATTCATAACCCAGGACTGAGGAGGCAGAGTTAAAAGACTCCTGGATTTTCCTAAATGTATCGGTTAGTTTCAGATCAGTGAGAGATCCTGTCTCAAACTCACGGTGAAGAGCACCCTGAAGAACTGCACTCAGTGTGGAACCAGGGACTGCCTAAACACCAGCACAGAATGTTCTACACGACAAACAGAGTCTACCCAAGCACAGCCATGCTGGGTGAAATGGGATTATATTTTAGGGTTATTCCCATTTAAGAAATGCCACTGGAGGAGAGATTGCAATTCAGTGTAAGCTTTGTACTGTTTTGATACAGCTGTTTCACATAACTAAGGGGAGGGGACATAGTATTTAATTTTCAGGTCATGACTTGGGAACATGGATTCAGGTCAGGTAGCACAGTTTTCCTGAGATTTTATGAACACAGTGTCCATAGGTCTGAGTCTACTAGAGTGCCTGAGGGAACAGACGCAAAGAAGAAGGGCAGGGTTTATTTATTTACTGTTTATCACTGAAGTAGTAGGTTATTTCTAACCAAAAGGAGGAGGCTATGGCGATCTATTTAGCAATGAATTGGTGTTGCAGACACTGATATAAGCCCATAACTAACTCAGCATAGAAACTACTGATGGAGATATATATATATATATATATATATATATATATATATATATATATATATTCATATATTCATATATATATATATATGAAATCAAATTTAACAATATAAATAAAGTTGAAACTATATACTTTGGGAAAAATGTAATGAAAATGACCTTTTCTCTTCATATTTTACTTTCTCCAAATCCACAAGGTCAGTCTAATAACAAGTAAACAGATTTCAACTGGGGAACTTTGTATAAAATATCTTATCTGACCCAAAATCCTCAAGGCTGTGAAAATTTATTATGTTTGAGAAATGATCACGGTCAAAAGAAGCCAAAGGGGACACTTATGAAGAAGTAAAATATTGCCTATATATTATTTTGAAACTAAAAATAATAACTAAGTAAATAAATAATCCCAATTCCAGGTCACTATAAATAAAGTTTGGACCTTAGTAGATTGATTTTAAAAATGCATCATTGTTGGTTCATTGATTGTGATAAGTACATTAAAGACATGCATTTATTAATGAGAAATTAATTGTAAGCTACATAGGCACTCTCGGTGGTATCTTTTCACTATAAATTTCAAAGTATTCTTCAGAAGGAATAAAGTTAATTTTGTAAACAGCTTGCAAAGAGTGGCTCAGCATATAAAAAATTGTAGGTCAGTGCTTATCCATATAAAGGTATCATAAGTATGTTAATGGCAATATTGGCAATGATAAATTTAGGGAATAAGGAATGTTTATCTCCCTTATTCCTTTATGACAATTATTGGACATTATTTTCTTGAAATAACTGTTCTGTCCCTTTATCTTTGGGTACCTCGTGCTACTTCACTCATCGGATAGACTTTTCTTCTGCACTGAGAAGCAGCAGCTCCCTCCTTGCTTGCAGAAAGCCTCCTGGCATGCTGCAAAAGTGCCGCGGCATTCCTTTCTCTTTTCATCTGACACACTCTGATTTTCTTTCCCATTGAGATAGTTTCTAACAGTCTGAAAAGAGCCAATCAAAGTAATTGTTGAATCTTGATGACCAGAACTTCATGTGCCAAGCATTTTATCCTAAAACTGGGTTATTTAGAGTCCAATGAAGCCAGGAATAAATATATAACACTAAGTAATTTGGGGAGATTAGAGAATTTTCAGAAAATTTCTGTCACTTGGAAGCATGAAATTGCATGCAGTGCAGTGGAATGAAATCAAATCAATCAGTAGCTTGGGATCTCCCAGGCGGGCTCCACAATCAGCAAGAGCCTAGAAGCGGCATGAGGGAGAGACTGCTGGGGACTGGTGGCAAAATACCTGGGGCCAGAATGCAAAGAGATCAAAGCTTGAGTTCTGAGAGGTCCAGCTCTGACTGCAGACCACAGAGCAGCGTGGATAAAAGGATCTGAGATAGAGTGGAAGTGAAGTTGCCATTGTGCTGAGATCTAAAGCCAAATCTTATCCGGTCTGTTAGGATGACTCAATGTCTCCTCCTCCCCACATGGAAGGAGCCCAAGCTCCTCAAAGTCAAATGTGGCTTTCCTGAAGACTGTGTCAGCATGCGTCTGCTTGATCCCATTTTCTCACCTCTTCTACTCTATCTAAATTCAGTAGTATCAACAGATCGTCCTTGTTGATGCGTGAGCCACCATGCTTCTTTGCTTAGATCTTTCTACCTCTGTACGGCATGCCCATGCCACATTTCTGGCAAATGCTGAGATTCTGTCTCTTGCGAAGTCTCAGCAATGCCATGCTATGACAGAATACTAGGTTTGTGCATACAAACGTGCTGTGTTAAGCTGTGCAGTAGAACTTTTCCCATTGGGGTTCTTGGTCTCCTCTATAAGTCTGAACCCTTTGGAAACAAAGATTGCATTCTATATAGAGAAACTAAGGATGGAACACAAGACTGTGGATGATGAAGGCATAAATGAATGTGACTTATGAAAAAATAACAGAATTTGAAAGAATCTATTTGAATTTTTAAAAAAGTACAGTGTAACAGTTTTAAAACCTCAGGAATTATCACCAGAAGTCATAATTCTGTAACCTGAAATAAACACTAAACCTGAGCCAAAATCAAGACTAAGGACAACTGTAACAAAACTATTCCAAATGCTGAAGCTTCTACTGTACGTGAGATATGGAAAAATCATGGTCCCCAGTCCAGGAAGGTAGAAAAGGAGGCAGAGGGCATTCACAAATATTAGAAATGAGCTGAATTCTCCCATAGTCAAGTGTGTGTTTGTCAAGAAAGAACTTCATGGAGTGATCAGTAAGAGGGAGCTAATGGAAAATTGTCTGCCCATGAAATCTGTGACCATTCCAAGGACAAAGGAGCCACAAGCTGAAGCTTCCAGAGCTTTATTAAGAACAAATCATGCCCGAACATTTTGATAGTTTTTTTTTATATATTGTAGCTGCTCAATTCCTGCCACACTGGCTCCACTGGCTCCCCACTGCCTTCTAGATCAATTTAAGACACCTTCTTTTGAGTTGACCTTCAAAGCTCTTCAATAGTCAGTTTATTATTTTCATTTCCTCTCTTGTCTTAATTTTTCTGCTGGTATCTGTTCTGGCTCTTTGACTTTGGTCACCTGCTCTGGCTTTGTACAGACTTATATCATGACTTTGTACCTGTACCTTTCTTTACTCTAAAACCTTGGGTCCATTCGTCTAGCTACTTAGTGCTGCAGGTCCTTTGAGATCCGGCCCTTCTCCCCGAAGCCAGTCTGTCCATACCAGTTTAAATGTTGAAGTTAATTTTCCATTCCTTGTTAGTCATTGTGCGTACATCCATTACTGTTCTGTAATGTCGTC